CGGCGCCGCCCCCCACTCTGGTCGTACAGCAGCACGGTCGCAGGCGGCGGCGGTTGCAGCGGTGGCCCGGGCAGCAGGGCACGCACGGACAGGCTCCCTCTCCGCAGGCGGCGCAGCAGCAGCGTGGGCAGCGCCACGCTCAGCGCCCCACTGATGCGCGCCGATTCGTACAGCTCACGGCTGCGGCAGTCCAGGAGCAGCAGGAGCGGGCGTGGGGGCTCCAGCTCGCCACGCAGCCACAGGCACGAGCGGCCCAGGCCCTCCATGGGCGCACGTCGGGCGGCGGGTGCTGTGGAGAGAGGGGAGGCGCGACGCTGGTGAGCGTGCGGTGCGCGGGGCCGGCCACCGTGTCCACCGTGAAGGCGTGCGCCCAGGGTCCCGCGGGGTCACTGTTCGCGCGCCGCCCGCGGGGAGGACACCCAGAGAGGAACCCCAAGAAAACTGCCTGAGCAAGTACTGGGGCTCAGCTCCTGCTCTGGGTGTAGAGGCAGGGGAGTCTCCCGGCGATCGCCCCGAGAGCCTCGGACTTCAGGGGTGTGTGCAGGGAGGGAAAGGGGTTCAGGGCGGGCAGGGCTGGGGAATAGACGGGCGCCAGGTGAGGCCCCTCGGAGCTGACCTGGTTCCAGTTCCCCCATTGTCCCCCAGCACAAAGGCAGAGAGACCTGGCGAGCGATTCAGCAGCAGGCGGCCGTGCGTGGACGTCTTGGCCACGGCTACTGCGACGGCAGGGCGCGGGCGCCTTCCCTGGAGCGAGTCCTGGCCGGACTGGAGGCGCAGCGGGCTCGCACGTGGAAGCGGGGCCTTGGGGCGCTGCGTCCAGCAGCGCGACCCAGTTTCCACCCCGGGCACCCGGTCGGACGGGAGTAGCAGCCCCGGGGGGCGGGCCGGGGCGGGGCGGTGGGGCGGGCTCGAGGCCGGCCAGCCAACGGCGGGAGCCAGAGGGTCGGGTGGGCCCCGAGAGTGGCCGAGAGTGGCTGAGCAGCAGCTTCACCAAGGCGGGAAAGGGTCAGGGCAGAGGCCAAGGGCTGGTTGGGGGCCCAGCAGGGGACCAGTTGCAGCTACTCCGGCAGGCACCAGCTTGGTCCCTGGAGGGGGGAGGGGATGGGGGACACTAAGGCCCAGTACCTCTGCCCCAGAAGGGGCTTCCAGCAAATCACTCAGCCATCCTGGACTATTCTAAGTCCCTGCCCGGACCTTGGTGGCCTCATCTGCATAATGGCCTCAGCTGAGTCACTAGGGGATGCCTCTGAAATGGCCCCGAAATCGAGGAGCAGAGGAGGAAGTGGGGGCTAGAAACCTCCTGCTGCCTTGGGGCCCAGATCTTTGCCCAAAACTGGCACAAGGCAGCTCCTGGGCACCCTGCTCCAGCCCTGCTTCATGTGCACAGGCCAGGCTAAGGGGACTCAGGGGCTCTGAGCACCCTGCTCCATGCCGGGCACTCCGCTCGATCACACTGCACTCCGTCACCTCCTCCTTCCCTCTGCCCCGTCCCTTGGGCCTGGATGGAAGTGGTCTCCACTGGTCCTCTCCACCCGGGCAACCCCCGCTGCCTCCTGCGCTGGCTGTGAGCTCGAATTCCCCGTGTCTCGGTCCAGTCACGGTCACAGCCTGAGTGCCTCAACCCACCCTCCTCCGTACCCTGTCCTATGTGACACCACACATTCAAGAGAGGCTGGCGGCTTCCATGCTTTCCCTGGACACAGGTGACGGACAGGCGGGACACTACAGGGCCTCTGCTTATCTGGCACTTCCAGTCCAGCAGGACAGATGGACAATAAGCCAAGACACCAAGAGAGATACTGGGGTGATAAGTGCTCAGTCAGACAATAAAAGGAGGGGTAGGAAGAGGCTTCTAGAAACTCCATCTGGCTATGAGTCCTTTTTCTGTCCAAAGCCCAACAAAAGCAAATAACAGCGTTGAAGGAAAACATAGGACAGATAAGCTAAAGCTCATACAAAATAATCAAAAGGTTAAGACCCAGCAGATAAAGGCTCTGGGACTTAAGAAGAGTACACGCTGCATGAAGGAAGGAATGTGATGGCGTCAAACATGTTTGCAGGAAGCTTCAGCCCCAGGCATGGCAGGAAATCCAACCCGAGACCCAGAGATGGAGGGAGGGGAGGAGAGTGGACCTGAGAAGAATGAAGATGTATTCTGCGCATGTAGCAGCTCCCCGCTGGGAATGTAATCACCATGGACCTCAAACCACTAATAAAAATTAAAACTAGGCAACAACAACAACAACAAACAAGGTAACACTTCCCACTTATTAAACCTTAGCGGACCACTCTCCAAGCCAGCTGCCTAGCGTTGGCAGCTTGCTGGAAACTGGCAAGCCATTCTGCTGCTGGGTTCTCATCTGGGAGGCCCTTTTGGAAGTGGATCTGGCAGTGTGCACCAAGAGCTACACGGAAAACCCATTCCCTCAGCCACTTCCGCGAATGCCCGCTGCGGGTTCAGTGGGAGCAAGCACATGTATGTACATGGATGGGCGCCACAAGACATGCTTCCAAGGGTGGAAAGTGCCAAGCCACCGGAAGGACAGCACCTAGGATGGCTGCAAGCCATCTGTGTGTCCTGCGTGACCCCTGCAGCTACCTGAGACACGTGCACCAAGGCCAGAGAGGCCGTGACAGAGTCAGGCCATCTCTCTGGGCTTCGGTCACCTCCTCCCTGTCTCCTGAGCCACGGGCTGCAAGTTCACCTTTGGCCTCTAGGATGGGTCCTGACGCCTGCACGCAAGGGTTCTGGGTGGCTGAGGTGTGCCCCATCCCTTCTCCACTGCCTGCCCATTTCTGCTTTCTCCAGGCTTTCAAGCAGCTCAGGCCAGGAGCTAGGCACAGCCCTGTCCCCTTCTCAGCACGCTCCTAGAAGAGCCTCTACCTTCCAGCTCTCCATTCTTCCAGCCTGACTCCACAGCGGGTAGAGGCAGGGACTGGCCACTACCTGGCCATGGGCGCCCCGTCTGAGAGCTGCAGCTGCGGGCTGGACTTCGGCGGTGGGCAAGAGTTGTGGATGGGAGTGGTATGGCGTTGGGGCTGGTGGGGAGCTGGAGAAACTCTCCTACCCACCCTGCCATGGGGGCACCGTGCGCCTGGAGAGAGGATCCCAGGTCTTTGGGCGTGGCGCATCTGGGTGCCCGCCTACTCTCCGGAGAGGGCTTCCAGAAAGAGGAGACTGGAGCTGGGCTGGGGATGTGGCTGGGAAGGGAGGCCAGCTCCGCAGTGGGGAAGCGAAGGGAAGCCCAGGCGCCACTAGTCCCAGTCTCCTAGCACCTGTGTGGTCCCCTGCGCCTGGCTCTAGACCCTTGTTGGCGGCCCTCCCGCCTCGTGCGACAAGGCGTGCAGGAGTGAAGGGTGAGGGGCACTCAGTCTCCAAAGTCGCTGCTCAGTGCCCGCAGCGCCAGCAACAGGACAAATGGGAACCTGTTGCCACCTCCGCACTGCAGGCCTGAGTGCCGCCAAGCTCCCGCCTCCACCCCGACCCTCGCAGGCCCCCCCAGGTCCCCCGCGGCGTCCGCTGCGCTCTGGCCCCGCCCCCTGGCCACTCCCCGGGCAGGCGGCC